GTAGGCTTCAATGCAGTCAAACACTGGAGAGGGACGAAGGGACTGGAGGTCAGTTTGGGGGGACATGGTGGCCGGACACTCAACAGCTCCAGGGTGGCTCTGCCCATGGAAAGGCCCCGGTGCTCCTGGTGTTACCCAGGCCTGCGTAGGTGTCATTACCCGTGCCCACGTACACGTTACGTACCCCTGTCTGCGTAGGCGTTTCTGGCCTGCTCGTCCCAGGGCCGCCCGCCTGCCAGCACAGAGGGGGTGTACTGAGTGAAGAGGGACACGACGTGGCAGCCCTGTGGGGCCAGCCCCGGGTCCAGTGCCGAGGGGATGCAGAGCTCGATCATGGGCCTGGGGGAGCAGGACACCAGCTGGGCAGGTGGAGGAGGACCCCGACACCCCCCGCCATGGCTGTCCTGCCCCTTCCCCGGGACGCTGAGGTGTGCCAGTGCAGTCTCCTACCTGCTGGAGGGGTGTCCATTGGTGGCCTCAGTGAAGGCCTGGTGCAGGAGGTGGGTGCTCTCGCAGTTGAGATGGATGGAGCACTGGTGGTGGGGCAGGGGCCGGCCGTCGCGGGCGTTGGGAGCAGCCAGGAAGCTGGGCAGCCGATCCACGGCCACTGGGCACAGGGAGGAGGATGGGGAAAGGGGGACACAGGGTGCTGAGCATGGCACCAGTGTCCCTCCAGCGGGAACAGCGGCAGAGGTGGCCCCACTGGTACCTACCATTGATCTTGGTGACAGGAGAGCGCGTGTCCATCTGCCGGATCCGCTGGACAAAGTCCTTTGGCAGCTCCTCCTGGGGTGGGAGAGCCCAGCAAGTGAGGGGGACAGCCCGGTCAGGGGACACCACCCCACCAAGCCCCTGCCAGCCCCGCGTGTGCCCTACCTGGGGAGTGAGCTCCAGGAAGGTGATGTGGGGGGAGGCGTTGGACAGCACCAGTTTGCTCCGCACCTCCGTCCCGTCCTGCAGCACGACGCCCTGCGCCCGCCCATCCTTGCCCAGCAGCACACGGGACACTGCCTGGGTGAGCGGAGGGGACAGGACCTCACCGAGAGCATCCCTGTTCCCCCCAGGCCACCCACGCACCTCCCTGTGCCCAGACACCCCCTACCTTCTCAGTAAAGATGTGGGCTCCCCGGGCAGCCGCTGCAGAGGCGATGGCTTGGGACAGAGCCCCCATCCCACCGGCCACGTAGCCCCAGGCTCCCCGCCGTCCCTCCAGCTCGCCCATCACGTGGTGCAGCAGCACGTACCTGCAGCAGCAGGACCCAGGTGAGCTGCCAGCCGAGGTGACAGGCCTGTCCCCTGCGTCTGTGGTGCCACAGCCCCCATAGATGGGATCGAACCAGCTCGGGGGATGCCAAATCAGTTACAGGGAGCACCCACCGGCCAGAACTTGACCTGACCTGGGGACAGAGGTGTCCAAACAGCAAAGGGACAGTGGGCACTACTCAGGAGAGCCGTATGGAAGGGACGGTGGGGGCAGCCCCTTGCCCAGCTCCAACCCCTGAGCCACTCACAGCTGAGCAGGACACAGGGTGGTGGGGCACAGCAGAGCCAAGGGGCTGCCAGCGCAGAGGATGGCACAGGGGGACGGTGCAGCCATGAGGCCCAGGGGGAAGGGACCCTCACCCACTGCCGGGGGTGTGGGGGCTGGCCATGGCTCCAATCACCGCGTCAGTCGCCAGAGTTGCCTTCAGGGGCTCCGACTCAAACCACTGATCCAGGATCTGGCCCAGGAGAAAAGGAGAGTGCCAGGCTTGGGGTGGGGGGCTGCCACAGCACCCTCACAGGTGGGCAGGGAGGTGGCTGGTGGCTCTGCTCTGCTGCTGCTGGCACTCACCTTGGAGATGGGGGCTGTGAGCACCTCGAAATAGCGGGGCAGCTGCCGCCCCAGCACCTGCCCTGGGGGTGCAGAGGCAGCATGAGAACTGCACAGCCCTGCCAGGGCCGGCTCCCTGTGCCCAGCTGGGTTTGGGGACAGGCAGGGGGCGAGCCTGCTGCTCTGCCAGCCCAGCTGCGCCCTGGGAAGGAAGGAGCATCACCCGCTCCAGGTGTGGGCAAACACCCATTGCCCTCAGGGTCCCCCAGCATCCCAAACGTACCTGCCCGCAGCAGGGGCTGCAGGGCTCGCAGGGCCCTGATCCGCTGGAGCAGGGACCCCTGCCCCAGGGCAGCTGTGTCCACCGGGGGGGCGTCCAGCAGTGGGTCGAGGGCCAACACCAAGCCCCCCATGAATGCCTCATACTCAGGGTAAGCCTGAAAGGGGACGGAGGGGGCACAAGGGGGACTGCGCCGTGGTGGGTGCAATGGACACCCCATCTAGGAGCATCCCAGCTGCTCCACTGGGCAGGGCAGCCCCTTGGGGGCAGGGTGCATGCCCCCCCCGGTACCTGGGCGTCCTTCTGGGAGAACTGAGCAATCTGCTGCTGGGTCTGGGCCATGTTGTGCCCCAGCAGGAGGGACTGGGGGGGGCTCCTGTCCTCCAGCAGTGGGGTGAAGGAGTAGGGGTCCCGGGGGAGCAGCCTCAGGCCGTGCCGCTGCAAGGCAGGGATGGCAGGACCCACTCAGCGGGGGTGGCCGGGCAGGGGGCTCACCCTGCCAGGGTGCCAGGAGGTGCCAGCAGCGCAGTTAAGGATGGGTGCCAGTACCTGCAGCTCCAGCTCAGCGTAGATCTGCGGCCGCAGCAGGCTGAGCAGGTAGGATGCCCGGGAGAACTTGAAGCCTGGAAGATGTAGGGCGGTGGGGGGTGCCCGAATCCAGGGCTGGGCAGGGCCGGGGGGACATAGGGTACACAGGGGTACCTGGCACAATCTCCTCCGTGACAGCTGCGCCACCCAGCACGTGGCGTTTCTCCAGCACGGCTGTGCGCACCCCTGCCCGCTGCAGGTAGGCAGCCTGTGGGGAGTACGGCATCACGCTGCCCACCCCTCCGGGTGGGATGGGTCCTTGTCACTCTGAGCACCCTCTCACACACCATCCTGCTCTCACCAGGGAGGGCCCAGCTCCCCACAGCCCTCCAGGAGCCCCCAGCTCCATGGGCCTTGCCACCAACACCCTCCCCTGCCCATCGCGCAGACCCTCCCTGCTCCCCCCCCGTCCCCCAGCGATGGAGGTGACAGCACCCTGCGCTCAGTACTCACTGCCACCAGCCCGTTGTGTCCTGCAAGGAAAGAGGGAGGCGAGCTGAGCCCGACGGTGGGGCAATCCCACAGCACAGGGCACCCTGCCATGCCTGGGGTTACGGGGCTGCCACAAGCACCCAAATAACGGGGTTTTGGTGATAGAGGTGACAGGGAGCATCCTCCCCCATCCCTATAGCCCTGCCTTAATGGTGCAGGGGAGGGGGACAGAAGGGGTCAGAGCAGATGCTCCAGCTGTGCCCTGAACAACCAGCGTGCTGGGAGGGCTGTAACGTGTGTGTGCCCAGCTCTGCAAGGCCCTTGCACCCTCCCTGGCACGAGGAGCACGCTGGAGGGGCTGCAACGTGCCCAGTACCACCCTGGGTCCCCACCTGGCCACCCCCCCTGCCTGCCCTGGGGGGAGCTCAGCTGGATGTGGAAGGTGGGAGGTGTCCCTGCCCAGGGCAGGGGGTTGGAACTCGATGATCTTTGAGGTCCCTTCCAACCCAAACCATTCTATGATTCTATGTCCCCACCAGCTCCCCGCTGCCCAGCGTTACCTGCCCCTATCACCACCGCGTCGTACTCCCGCTGCAGCCGGGGTGCAGACCCGGCGTGGGCCAGCCGTGCTCCCGGCAGCCCCGGAGATGAACCCCAGCCCCGTGGCCAGCAGGAAAGGCGGCCCGTTGCCCAGAGCCCAGCGGCCATCGCCCCACAGTGCCTGGCCATGGCTGCCCCGTGCCCAGCAGCATGGACTTTGCTTTCCTGGCAGAGCTTTTCCCAGGGCTTCCGGGCATGGGGAGGGGACGGGGGGGAGGCCAGGGCAGGGGACACCCTGGCACGGGGCCGGAGGCTGCGTCCTGGGGCTTGCAAGACGCTGAACCCAGCAGAGCGTTGCCAGGGACTTGGGGGGGTAGGGGGCAGAGATTAGCCCCAGCGCTGGGAAGGAGACAGGGTTGGATCCCGTCTGGTGCTCCAGGGAATGCCAGCTGCTCCCCAGCCTGTACCCCAGGAAGGCACCCCCCTGAGACCCCCCCCCAGCCCCTGCTCTGCTCCAGGAGGGAAACCAGGGCTGGGGTGAGGGGCCAACAAGCAGCGTGGGACAGGGGGAGCTTGTCCCCCCGCCTCCAGCAGGCAAACCCAGGGCACAGCCCTGAGAGCAATGGGAGAAGGGGCAGCTTGGGGGTGAGCTTGGGCCTGACCCCAGCAACGTTGCTCGGCAGGGCAAATTCCTGCCCGGCACGATGGGGTAAAGGCCCCACCATGGTCCACTGCTCCCTGAACCACCAGCCCCGGCCCCAGCGAGCAGCGCAGAGCGACAAGGGCAGTAGCTGCCAGAGCCCCTCGGGACTGGCTCCATCCCCGGCCCTGCTCGGGGGGTTTGGGCACGTGCACTGAGCCCAAATATGCTGGGGAAATACAGGAGCTGCCTGGGCTTTACCCCCTGTTCACAGCCGAGCTCGGCCCCGTGGCTATCTGGTGTCTGAGAGCCTGGGTGTGGGGAAGGGGGTGCAGGATGGGCTGCATCTCCCCAGAGCCTGCCAAGCCCCACAGGGCCCCACACCCCACATTCTGGGGGCGAGGAGGAATGGGGCCAAACCCCGGGCCATTCCTCTGTGCAGGTTTGGCTACACCGCTTTGTCTCCAGCCAAAGCCCGGGGTGATGCCAAGCCAACGCTATAAATCCTCCTCTGGAAACACACTTTTCAGCAAGATGGTGATTTGCCAGCAAACTCTCAGCCCCACTCTCCGCCTGTCCCTGGAGACTGCTGGGTGCCAGCGAAGCCCACGGGGAGCGGGGGGGCAGGCAGCTGGAGGATGGGAATTCTGCCGGGAGCTGCCTGTGGGCACAGCCGACGGCACACAGACACCGAAAAAGCAGCCCTGTTGCTGGGATCACCCACACACCCCCTTTAATCCCAGCCCCGAGGTGGCTGAAGGCAGCTCAGAGGAGGGGGATGCGGGAGGGCTCCCAGAGACGCCGGGCCAAGTCGCAGGCCTGTTGGACCACCAGCTCGGAGGGGATGATGCCCAGGTGCACAGTCAGCAGCTCGTAGCACTTCACCACCTCTGCCTGGTGGTTCTTGCTGTAGTAGCGCAGCAGCTTCCTGGGAAGGAGAAGACGGGGTGCTCAGCTGATGCAGCGCAGCCTGGCACCTCCCTTCTCAACACCTTTCCCCTCGCAAGTCTCTGGCAAGGACACAGTGGCTGGCCACCAGCAGGACCACCAGGCTGGGGAGATGCTGCAGCACTGGTACCACCCTGCAGCCACGTCCCGGCAAGGATGGTGTCACCCACGGGAACCCCCGTGCCAGCACAGCCCCGGGCCCTGGCACCAAACCCCAGGGCTGGGGAGGGCTCACCTGTAATAGTCTCCTGCCAGCATCCCGATGGGAGCAGAGTCGTCAGAGAGAACCGGCACCTCCATCACCTCCAGCTTGTAGCCCTGGGGAGAGATGAGAGCAGAGGGGCAGGGAGGGGACCACTGAGGAGCTGGAGCCAACTGTGCCTACAGCCCTGCTCCCTGCCCTCAGGAAGTGCCAGGGGAGCGGGGCGCAGCCCCTTCCTCGCTCCACGTACCAGCTCGTTCTCAAACCAGAGGAAGTAGGAGCAGCAGTAGTCTCCATCCTGCAGCACAAGCGTGGTGTAGCCCTTCTGTAGGTATCGCCGGGCCAAGGCGATCAGGGACCAGACCTGGGGGACAAGAAGCACCTGAAGCACGAGCAGAAAACCCTCCAGCTGTCACACTCATGTGGTCCCCAGCCCCATAAGCAGTACCTTCCTCTTGATGAAGGTGGCCAGGGGGCCCTTGCCCAGCTCCGAGGTGGACTTCTCCGTCACACTGAGTGATGGTGCCATCATCTGCCCAGCTGTGCGGTCCACATAGATGAAGTGCACCAGGCCAGGAAAGTCCTCCAGGTAAGTGGGGTGGGGGTTAAGGGTGTCCAACAACTTTGGTGCCCTTCCAGGACAGCCCCTGAGCCTTGGGGAAACCGCTTTCGCCCACCACCCTCCTCCCCTTGAGCCTGGTGTTGGGGGGACAGGGTCCTCCCGCTCCCACCTCTGCTGCCCCCCTGCCCAGGGACTTCTCCTGGCCGGGCTGGGCTCCCAGCCGCGGGGATGGATATGACACCATGGTGATATTGCGCCTGCTCTTCACCAGCAGAAAGTCCCGCCAGTCCAGCAGCTTCTCCCTGCCAAGAAGAGGCACGGTGAGAGGCCGGGGCCCTCTAAGCCTCAGCACAGCTGGGTGTGGGGCAGCCCCCCTGGGGATGCCAGCCACCCCCACGCACTCACCTCATCAGCTTCTGGGCACGGTCCTGCAGCCCCTGGGACAGGCTGTGGCTGCCGGAGCCCAGGAAGAGCTGGCGGTACACGGAGCAGAGCTGCCGCTTCACGCTGGCCACTGCCTGCAGCAGCCTGAGACAGGAGACACGGACAGCGTGGAGTTTAGTGCCAGGGTCCCCCCTGCCAGAGGGACAGCTGTGCCATCCCCCAGGCTGGGAAAGGTCCCCAGATGCTTTCCCTGGCCACCCTATACTCACTCCAAGGAGTTTGCAGGCTCATTCCGGGAAAATATCTTGTTCTTGAAGTCCACCCAGGCATTCTGCAACTAGAGAGAGACGGGGCTCAGCGTCAGGCTGCAAGGAGGGCAGGACAGGGCCCTTGTGTCCCCACTCCCACCTGGATGTCCTGCCCACTCAGCTTCTTCACAAACTTGTCCATGCGCTGCCGTAGCTCAGCCAGGAACGGGTAGGAGCGTGGGGCTCCCGCCTCCGGCCCCTCTTCCAGCTTCTTCTCCAATACCAAGAAACCATCCAGCAGCTGGTACAAGGTGACAGCCACCTGGGTGGTGGGGCCCTGCCAGGGAGGGGTGAGGTGGGTCAGCCAAGACCCAGCCCACTGTTTGCTTCCCTCACCTTAGAGGTAGCTCACCCTGGTCAGAAGGACAAGGGAGATGCCCGGCCAGAGCGGGAGGCAGTGCATGGTGTGTGGCAGCAAGGGGCAGTAACCCTCCCGCAGGTTGGCATCCAGGAAGATCCTTCTGGGGTTTGAAGCTTCAGGGACCAGAGGCTCCAAGGTCTGGAGCGAGTCCTCTGCCATCTGGAGAGAGAGGAGAGATGCTCAGCCCCCAGCAGGGACAAGACAGCCCACACCGACCCAGGACACTCTGGAGGGACACAGCAATGCCCTCAAAGCTGCAACTGGGCACGACTGAACTGATGGAGCCGGAGGGGCTACGTGGCAAAAAGTCAGCAGCGAGAGAAGTGCCCAAGGATTCCAGCAAGGGAAGTGCCCAGAAGAGCAGCAGACAGAGGGGAAGCCTCTTGCAAAGACACAGGTTGCCAGCACCTTGCACCGAGGCAAGCACTTGCTTGGAGAGAGTGTGTGAGGCTCTGCAGCATCTGGCAGGGAGGCAGCCCAGAAAGCCCAGAGGCAGCAGAGGGAGACACTAGACTGCTCTGAGGAAGCCCCGTCCCCTCTGTGCCAACAGTTGTAGACAGGGACACCGAGCAGTGCCCCAGAGAGGGTGGTCAGAGCTATCACAGTTACGCACAGCAGGAGGGACACAGGGTACACTGCCAGCCCTAGAGCCCAGGGCACCCCCAGCCCCAGCACAGCTGGGGACAAGTGACGAAGACTGGAGATGGCAAAGAGCACCAGGAGAGGCTGAGGAGGAGCAGAGCCAGGAGGGACTGCAGGACCCCATGCTCACCTGGACTTCTGCAGCGTCCGCCTCCCCGGTGCCCAGCATCTCAGCGCCCTCCGACCAGCTCTCACTGCCTGCAGGGAGCACGGCAGGTCGCCCTCCCCTCCAGCCTCCCATGCAGCCCCAGAGCCCCCGTGGGGCTGAGGGGCACGGGGCAGGGCTGCTGCCCGGCTGGGCACTCACCCGTGCTGTGCTCGCCCGGTGAGGGCTCGGGAGTGTAGTAAATCTCGGGCGTGGAGAGATCATCTGTGTCCTGGGGTGAGAAGGGCTGGGTCAGCGATGGGAGGGACATGGGCAGCCCAGCCAGTGTCCCACCCCACAGCTCACGGCCCCGGGGACTCACCTGGTCATCCGAGTCCTTCTCTGCAGCTCCATGGGAGCCAGGGCCACTCACCGGGATGCTCTCGCTTCTCTTGGGTGCCTGGGGGAGCTCCTTCCCTGACACAGGCTTCCAAAAAATAAAAAGGGAAAAAAAATTAAGGCCTGGCCACCAAGACATCACCCTGCAGGGGAACCCCAACCCACGGCCCCCCACGCCTCGCTCTGGAGCACCTGGGGGCCGAGCTCCTCCTCGGCGCTCTGGCTGGGGTACAGGTCCTGCACCAGGAGGATGAGGATGAGCAGGTCAGCGGGGCGGATGGAGCTGGCGTTGCGGCTGCGGGACAGAGAGGGAAGGGTGAGCCGGGAGGGTGAGGGGCTGCCCTGGGGAGGGTGGTGGGGCTGGGCACACCTGGAGTAGAAGGCCAGCAGCTTGGTGTGCACCAGGAGGAAGGCATGTGCCACCTCGTGCCCGCCGCGCTCAGGGCTGGCGTTGATGTACTGCACCACCTGCCGCTCCAGGAACTCGATGCACTGCTCGCACAGCTGAGGGTGGATCAGCCGCTCCACGGCCTGGGGGGTGGGCAGGGGGAGTGGGTGCTGAGCCCCCCCAGACCCAGCCTTGTGGGCAGGTCCAAGCCTCCTCTGTCCCAGGGAGCTGCCCCAAAGTCCCCAGCCCAGAGAGTTTACATCCCGGGACTCCACACAGCCTCCTACCCCTGGGACACCCCAAGGTGGAGGGACACCCCAGGGACACGGTACCTCAACTGCAAAGCTCTGGTCCTCCTCCCGCAGGCGGCTGTAGGTCTCCAGCAGGCCCCGCAGCAGGCTCCAGACACGCTCCCGCTGCTCCGAATCGGCCGGCCGCAACCTGCAACGGCCGCAGAGCGTGAGCCGTCACCTCCCCGGCTGGAACGGGCACCCCAAAACCCAGCTGCAGCCCAGCAGGCAGGTGTCCTGCTGCAAAGGAGGGGTCCCAACTGGGAGAGCTTCATCACTCCCAGCCCCCGGGGGCTGCATGAAGGCACGGCTCGTTGGCTGCCCTGGCACCCCGGCACCCCAGCACCCCGCCATGCCACCCCCTGCCCGCTCACTCCTTGCGGACGAGGTGGGAGTCGAGGGTGACGAGGCCGCAGTGAACCTCCACCAAGCGCCGCAGCACGAAGAGGGTCCGGCGCAGGTCATCCTCGCTCTCCGTCCCGTCGCCGTTCACCGCGATGTACAGGCAGTCCCCGAACTGCAAACCGGCAGCGGGGTCAGCTGGGGGG